TTGAGACAGATTCATTACAAATTAAATTAATACTGCTAACAGAATAATACCAACAATTACATTATATTTATACTGATACTGTAAATAATATAAATAAATATATATGGATAGATAGCACTTAAAATCACTAAATAATAATATAAAAATAAATAGCTAGCATATGGAAAACTAAATTTTTGAAAAACGTTGTAATAACCCTATCATAGCCCTTAGAAAAAAAAATGTTAAAACTGCAAAATCATTATTATTCGTGGGGCACTGATGTTCGTCGACAGGTCAACCCATGAATTTAAGATCCAACAAAATTATATTTTGTCTGCTGTATTTTACTATTTTTTCACAAAAAAGCAGACATTCCATGAATTTATGAACCCACAAAAATGTCTTTTCTGTCAAACCCTGAAATCCCATGCCTCAGAATTTTAGTGAGTTCACAGTATGAAACTTCGCTCCTGTTTAACTGAACAGGAAATGACCTTTGTGTATGTTTTAATAGAATAAGGCTGTATTGATAACAGGCTATAAATCTCAATTGATAACTTTAAAGTTTCTGATACAAATAATTCACATTTTTAACAAATTCACTAAACAAATAACTGCCCATTTTTATACATACGAATTCACTAAGCAAATAACTGCACATTTTTATACAATTCTCAAGGCAAATAACTGCCCATTTTTATACATACAAGTTCACTAGTCTAAGCAAATAACAGCACATTTTTATACAATTCTCAAGGCAAATAACTGCCCATTTTTATACATACAAGTTCACTAGTCTAAGCAAATAACTGCACATTTTTATACAAGTTCACAAAGTAAATAACTGCCCATTTTTATACAAACAAATTCACTAAGCAAATAACCTACTATTTTTGTCACACTGAGAAATTTGGCATTCGATGAATACATGTAAACGGTGTTTTATGAATGTCCTTCCTTTCAGTAAATAAAATGCACCGTTACATTAAAACACATTAAAACAATAAGCACTCCCAATTAAAGATTCCTTGAGTGAATGCACAGATAAAACTTCAATAAAAATGTCCAAATAATGTTTATTATGTGTAAGAGTGCTGGTATTAAAGTTGCCCACTTGGTTTTTGCCACTAGTCAATTGCAAGCCAAAGCAATTAATAGTCCGAGCAGTACAACCAGAATCTATACTGTTAAAGCAGCCTTCAGTTATTCTAAAGGTTAAATATGTTATTTTAAGATAACTCGTTTTATATACATTGTCAAATCAAAAGAATTAAAGTATGAAATGAAATGTAGATGAAATACATAAACAATAAGGAAACCCCTTGATACCTCTAATCTAATGGTCCACTCTATGTAAATTAGTTAAGCGGACAATTCATTTTCAAATCTTATTTTTTTATAAACAAATGTCAATGGCTATACATAGCATTAATGACGCTGTTTGGAAGAAGGCTTAAAGGTGATATGATGCACTTTTCCTAGGTCACAAAATAACTGAAATACTTAATTTGAAACAGCACAGAACTGTTTGTCAAAAAAATAAAACAAAACAAAGCTGAATGTTGCTTTAATAAATAATTCTGAACCTGAATGCCCTAAACCATGTAAACTACACCAAAAGACTGTTCCAAGTTCAAATCTGGACTAGTCCATTTAAGAAATTAAGTTAGAAACAAATATTTCATTCCATATAATACATAGCACTTTACAGTATACATTCTAAACAGTACCATTTGTATTTTCATTGACATATTATTTATACATTAACATCACATGTAGACAGGTAGTTAAAAGTCATATGAAAATTAATAAAACCATAAAATTTACTTTCAGAAAATATTGTGAATGAGCATATACTGTTTCAATTAGCTGTCTTTCCTGCATTTACTTAATGGACCAGTCCAATTTTTACTATGGAACTGTCCATTATCAATTATAGAGACATCAAGTTCAAAACTCATTAAGCTGAATACAGTATATTTTAGTTTCCAGGCATTGAAATAGGTTTAATGAATGAAAATAATAAAAATGACAGTTTTTGACACATGTCAATGGAAGGCAGGAATAAAATAAATAAATTAATGTAATATCTAATAAAATACACATTATCACTAAATAAATAAATAAATATAGAAATGCAAACGGTGTTTCAATAATATAGTTATCCACATTAAACTACATACTCTAGTAAACTGAAACACAAATATTTGACCACTTAAAGCAACAAGGAAAAAGCATTATAGGTGAATAATACTCTTAAAAACAAAATAAGATAAAAGAAAAAAAAACATGATCAAAAACTTCATTCACATCTAAAACAAAATAAACCAGTTATATTTCATAATTATTTTATAACCAGAGTTTAGCATCCTTATATTGTTAATCATTGCCAATTTTCAGGACTGCTTTCCCTCTCTGTGAAAACATCATTTCCCATATCAACTCACATAAAACACGCCTCATGTATAAGTTGGCATCCAAGTTTTACATGCAAATTGACAATAATTTACTTTTGACTTTCATAGTTGTTGATTTTCCTCTATTATAAGTCCTTTTTTGCTTTTATTTGCCTTTAAAGGAAATCCACTGAGGTATAAAAACCTCAAAAATGAATTTTAAATTTCTTTCATAGATCACCAGTAGGTGTTCTTAAAACAGAAAGTTATTAAAAAGAGTAAGAAAATATTCCCAGAAAATCTCATATTCTCTTGAAAATCATTTTTTGTGCTGTTCTTAGCCAGATTTGAGTGAAAAACATTGCTCATTTTTCACAATTATATTAATTATTATGGAAAATCAGAGAGAGCGAATGATCTGAAATTTTGCACACAAGTTACTGGTTTAGATCTCCATCAATTAATTGGAACATTTATCTCAAAAAAATATTTCCAGCCCTGTCATGTCAAAAAACTTCAGTGGAATCCCTTTAAAACAAGATGTTGATGGTACAAACCTAAAAAACTGACTTGAAAAAAAATTGATCATCATTATTTATTCATATTTAGTCATATTTATTTTAGTGAAATGGTATACAAGATGGTATATACCTAAATTAATATAATATATGAAACAATATACTTGATACATACAATATCAAATAAGACTCTATACCTCAATAGTAAAACCTGAATAAAAACCATTACTTTGTCCATTTATTTAATCTTTATCTTTTACAATTCATATAAAATAGATGATTTTTCTTAATTTTATGTTCAAAGAATACTGAATAGAAAATCGAAATTGGTCTGATTACTTCATTCAAACTATTTTCCTTAATTCAAATGATAGTCAACCTTTAATATCTAAACTATTTGCTAATTTTTCTTAATCACACTACAAAATGTATGCATTTTACAATGCTATTTCTATTTTGCAATAGTGCATGTACTTTCTTTTTTTTTGTACTTTCTTTTTTTTGAAAACTTCTTTCAAAGATTTATACCCCTTATACAGGATGATAATTAGTGTCTGACAATATGTACAATTTTTTCTAATAATTCTATTTTTTCTAAGTTAATTAACTGCTTCTTTATAATCAAACATGTCATGGAAAATGGTAAAGAAAAATATGATGTCATAGCTTGGTTAAAATGTTTTTTATCTGAACACACATCCTGGACACAAAAATTGATGTACATACAAAAACAACACATTAAAATATCAAGGAGGAAGAATTCAAGCAGCACCAATTCTTGCTTTGCAGTTGTTTAAGAACTGGTAAACGCTTAAAAATGGCAAAGAATTGACAATTCATTAACTGATGTACCATCACCTTAGTGCAATAACCAGTTCAATTTAATTTTAATAGGTTTAAATTACCTGGTACTGCACTGAAGTGATGGTATGAGTGGTTAGGGAGATGATCGGGTAAAAGATGATGTCTGGTTTAGAACGGATGTCACGTTAGAGACAATGTCATCCCAGCAGCACCGGATGTCAGGTCAGTGACAATGTCATCCCAGCAGCACCGGATGTCAGGTCAGTGACAATGTCATCCCAGCAGCACCGGATGCAACCAGAGCCCCTCCTGGGGTAAATGCACAATGTTGGGCTATGTCTGTTTGACCCTGTAAATAAAGAAGTTTATCAACATGTTATAGAGTGGACCCAAGAATTACTTGGTAAGCAATTGTTTAACAATATTCTTACTCATACTGATATACATTAAAGATGGTATTAAAAACATTGAAACCAACAAAACACTATCCTGGGCTTTTTTCACAAGGGAAGGGGCACATCCCACAAATTTGGGGGGAAATAACACTGTATCATTGCAATAGGGAAAGAAAAAACTTAATATAATTTTATTTCTGGGGAACTTTGTTTAAAGAACTTTCCTGGAGGTAGATGTCTGTAAACAGCCCTTGCTATAAAAGACTAAAAGATTTCCTAAAGTATGAATAAATCAACTGGTTTGTGAACCTCATTATTACAATAAAGCTTAAAAACACACGAAAAACATGAAAATTATCAACATGTTGACCTGATATCTGTCAAACTTTGATATATAAAGTAAATAAAATTGAAATGGTGATACATTAGATAATGTCTGATTGGCTGAAACTCATGGTATGACATTTGACATAAAGTCTGAATGACTGAAGGATGGAAGCTTTCCCTGGTGACCTTAACCTTTGCTCCTATGACCTCTAAGTGGGTCCTGTGGGTAGAGCTAATCAAGGTGCATGCAAAAAAATACAGACCAAAAACAATATGTCCTCACAATATATCTATCTGAGAAGGAATACAAAAATAAACTTATAACACTTAACTAATACTCTTTTGAAGATATTTTTGCTAAAAGCAACCTATTCCTTGATAATTAATGGCATAAGGGAATAGATTTATCATTTCTTTGAAAATATCAAAAACAAACCCAACCCTACCTCTAGCACTTTAATGCAAGCCCCTGTCACCACATCCCAGACCCTCACAGTATCATCATCACTGGCACTTGCCAAGTATATTCCATCGTTAGAGAAAGCCAGGGCTTGAACCCAGCCCTCATGTCCTGTCAGAGAGTGTATCAGCTTGCCTGTACGAGGATTCCATAACTTGACTGACCTGTCCCAGGATCCAGATGCCTGTAAAACATATCAATACAGGTTGTGAATGTTTGATTTTTGCTTTCTCTAAATCACTAACAGAAAAACAGTAAAACCTGTCTTGGTTTGGTTTAATTTTCCCCATTCCCACTTTCTGTGTTGGTTTGTGTTAATTTTCCACACCCACAGTGTCTGTGATAGTTTTTCTAAATTTCCCCACCCTAACTTTCTTTTTTGGTTTATCTTAATTTTCCCCACCCCCGCTTTTTGTTTTGTTTGTCTTAATTTTGCCCAGCCCTCACTTTATGTGCTGGTATTTCTTAATTTTCCCCACCTTCACTTTCTGACCTGGTATGTCTCAATTTTCCACACCTTAACTTTCTGTGCTGGTATTTCTTAATTTTCCCACCTTAACTTTCTGTGCTGGTATTTCTTAATTTTCCCCACCTTCACTTTCTGTGCTGGTATGTCTTAATATTCCCACCTTCACTTTCTGTGCTGGTATGTCTTAATTTTCCCCACCTTCACTTTCTGTGCTGGTATTTCTTAATTTTCCCACCTTCACTTTCTGTGTTTGTACGTCTCAATTTTTCCCACCCAATTTTGTGTGTTGGTTTGCCTTAATTTTACCCACCCTCATTTTCTATGATAGTTTATCTTAATTTTCCCTACCATTCCACTAATGTGTTGGTTTGACTTAATCTTCCCTATCTCAATTGTTCTATTAAAACAAAAAGAACTTGAGCAAGCCAAATGATATTAATAGGTATGCAGAATAAAAACAAACACACACAATAATTACATATAATGATGAAATTTATGTCAGAGTAGAAGATTATTTATTATAGGAACAAAAATTTAATATACCAGCATTCCATCTTTAGAGAAGGCGACAGCATGTACATTGCCTCTATGACCTTCTAGCACTTTAACTTTGTCTACACCATCAGGGCTTCCTATTGTCCATAATCTAACTGTAAAATCCCATGATCCTGTTGCCTGTTATACAGATTGTTCATAGTAAATATGGTGTTCTTTCTAACTTTATTTAGTATTGAAAATTTGTGATTTTGAGATTTCACTTAACCAGTTTGAACTTTGTTTGTTTGTTTCATTTTACGCCTTTTTCCAACAGTATTTCAGTTATATAGGCGGGTAGTTTCCTAACCATCACACCTGGAGAGTTACACCAGTACTAGACTACCTTCCTCTGCGCTAAACTACCAAAACATCTCCCGGGGATCGAACCCTAGCCAGAGAGGTAACTAGATTAGAAGTCATCGACTCTAACCCCTCGACCACGGAGGCGGTTAGTTTGAACTTATAAAGAAAAAGTTTAAATTCGAACCTCAGATATTTGATTGGTCAGAACACAGCACAGTATGTATAATGTATATAATGCCGTAAGATTCTAGACAGAGATCAAGCCTTAAGGGTCTAAGGTCTGTCTCTAATCTCAATAGTTTCATTGGTCAATGTATATCCAATGCCAGTTTCTGACCAATCAAATACCTGAGATTCAAATTTGAGCTGAGAAAAATTTGTTCATAACCTCGGACCCGCAAAAAATGTTTTTATAACCTTGAGTCCTGATTTTCTTTTTCCAACAAGAATTTTGTAGCACAGAATATTATTATTTATACATTGTTTAAATATATAGTTTATATACATATGTATAAAGAACAAAAAGATGTTCAGTAAAGTAGCTAGATAGCTTCCTTGGGATTCCCACCCATAGCGGTGAGGGGCAAGTGGTGTGAAGTTGATGACCTTAACCACTCGACCATGGACGCCCACAAAAATTACCCAATAACTTGATGTGTAAAAGTGTACTGTATAATTAAAAAGAACTTACAAGGAAAAACCCATTATGAGAAAATGCTATAGACTGCACCAAATTTTCATGACCTTCAAACACCTTCAGTAAATATCCATTCTGAAAATAAAATAAAAGTGCAGTTTACAATTATATATAAGTGATTAACACATAACAATTATATTAAAATCAAATCAAATTCAATACAACATGCTAAAGATTGAAGATTATAGTGGAGTTGAACTTTTTGCTGCAATTCATAGTATATAACACATGAGTATTTTCATGTAAAATTTTAGATAATTTAAAAGTATACAGACAAACATGTGTTTGTAGCCACCTAAAAATAAAGGTCACCCTATGAACAAAGACTATGTGAGAAAAAAAAAAGCATCATTTATTAATTGTACCATGACAACTTTAGATCAATGCAGTATTTTGTTTTTACAATGAGCGGCCTTTGTTTACATGTTAGACTGTATTATTCATCATGCACTATTAAGTCGTGGGAATTTCTCCAAATGGGCTTTTTTTCAAATTTCAGTGACAAATTGATTAAACTTCAAAAAACGTTGCTACAAAATCTTATCATGTGTAATTATGTGCAAAGAATGTAAAATAAGCATAAAAGATTACTTACAGAATATATAGAGCATAAAGAATTACTAATAGAATTATTGAGTGTAAAGAATTACTAATAGAATGCATAGAGCATAAAAATTTAATAATAGAATGTATTGAGCATAAAGCATTACTAATAGAATGTAAAGAGCATAAAGGATTACTAATAGAATGTATAGAGCATAAAGAATTACTAATAGAATGTATAGAGCATAAAAAATTAATGATTGAATGTACAGAGCATAAAAAAAACCAATAGGATGTATAGAACATAAAAAATTACTAATAGAATGTATAGAGCATAAAGGATTACTAAATAACTAATAGAATGTAGAGAGTAAATAGAATTAATAACAGAATTATAGAGCATAAAGAATTACTTATAGAATGAATAGAGCATAAAGGATTACTAATAGAATTTATAGAGCATAAAGAATTAATAATAGAATTTATAGAGCATAAAGAATTACTAATAGAATGAATATAGCATAAAGAATTACTAATAGAATTTATAGAGCATAAAGAATTACTAATAGAATGAATAGAGCATAAAGAATTACTAATATAATTTATAGAGCATAAAGAATTACTAATAGAATGAATAGAGCATAAAGAATTACTAATAGAATGAATAGAGCATAAAGAATTACTAATAGAATTTATAGAGCATAAAGAATTAATAATAGAATGAATAGAGCACAAAGAATTACTAATAGAATTTATAGAGCATAAAGAATTACTAATAGAATGAATAGAGCATAAAGAATTACTAATAGAATTTATAGAGCATAAAGAATTACTAATAGAATATATTGAGCATAAAGGATTACTAATAGAATGTATTGAGCATAAAGGATTACTAATAGAATGTATTGAGCATAAAGGGTTACTAATAGAATGTATTTAGCATAAAGGATTACTAATAGAATGTATAGAGCATAAAAAATTACTAATAGAATGTATAGAGCATAAAGGATTGCTCAAAGAATGTACAGAGAATAAAGAATTACTAATAGGATGTATAGAGCATAAAAAAAACTAATAGAATGTACAGAGCATAAAGGATTACTTATAGGATGTATAGAGCATAAAGAATAACTAATAGAATGTAAAGAGCATAAAGAATTACTAATAGAATGTATAAAGCATAAAGAATTACTAATAGAATGTATAAAGCATAAAAAATTACTAATAGAATGTACAGAGCATAAAGGATTACTTATAGGATGTATAGAGCATAAAGGATTACTAATAGAATGAAAAGAGCATAAAGAATTACTAATAGAATGTATAGAGCATAAAGAATTACTAATAGAATGTATAAAGCATAAATAATTACTAATAGAATGTATAGAGCATAAAGGATTACTAATAGAATGTAAAGAGCATAAAGAATTAAGAACATAATTATAGAGCATAAAGAATTACTAATAGAATGAATAGAGCATAAAGGATTACTAATAGAGCATAAAGAATTACCAATAAAATGTATAGAGCATAAAATATTACTAATATAATGTATTGAGCATAAATGATCTCTAATAAAATGTATTGAGCATAAAGGATTACTAGTAAAATGTTCAAGAAAAACAACTCTGTAGAATAACTTGTTGACAACTTCTTTTCACATCACACAGACCAAAACAATAATTACCTGTACATCCCAGAGTATGGCAGTTCTGTCCCAGGAGCCAGAGCAAAGCTTACTGGAGTCTGCTGAATACACGACAACCTCAACACTTTTTGTGTGACCTAGATTTTAAAATACAACAATAATGACAATTTTTTTTAAAGCATATTTCGGTCCTTTTACTTAAAGAGTCAATCTGATTAAAATCAGCTCCTAATTAACACTACAGCCATAAGGATCTGACGGGCACCATAAGTAGGTCACTTTTTGCAACCTTCCAAACAGCTAATCATTATAGGCATGAGATTAAGTATCAAAAATATTGCTGTCATGCCTATCTGTAAAGGAACGTTTGATTGCATGGCTAAAAATAGCTTTCTCTAGAAATCCGAATCACAATAAAGGTGAAACAGATACAGTAGCAATAAGATCTACATGCAAAAAATAACTTAAGTAGAACTGAACTTTAGTCAGATTGAATTAGGAGTTTGAATGGAAAAATAGAGAAATGCTACAGTGCATATGTGGTGTCATATGAGCTAACATGGCCATGAACAGAATAGGACTTGAAGTTCTGAGTACTGCGATTCATATGCACTGTAGCATTTCTTTATTTTTCTATATCAATGTCCATGTTTTGAAGTCTTACTTTTGGAAAACAGTTGTTGAAGAGAGGTTATTGCTAACTACAGAGGACCACTACCCAACATACCTTCAAGAACATGGAGTGCTTCTCCGTCATTCATTCTCCATACTCTAACAGTCTTATCATAGGATCCACTAGCTAATGTTTTACTGTCTGGGGCAATACAAACACTTTTAACAGCACCTGTAAATATCAACTGCATCATGACAGCATTTACATATAGAAAGATTGATGAATGTCTTGAAAAGATGTTAGAAAAACAAATTTGAAGAAAATAACCCTATGCCAAATCTATAAATGAAGAGCAATTTAATGGAGACATTTGACCTCGAAGGTCAAGGTCATTCAAGAGACAAGGTCATATTTCAATATGTCAAATGAAGATTCGGAAGCATTCATTTCTTTAAACAGATGCCATATTATTTTTTTTTTAAATTCACAGTAACAAAAAGTATTAAGGTTTTAATGCATAAATGCCCTTCTCTCTTTGTATCGTCTGAAGCAATACATGCTTATACTGAGGACTAATGTTGAAATGTACAATGCATGATTATGTTTAACCCTTAACTTGCTTAGCCCTTGCCAGACTTAAACTTGCATGTCTGTGCTGTGCATGACCTGAGGCTCATAAAAGCCAGATGGTGACTCAGTTTTTTGTAATAAGATAGTAAAACCCTTAAAATTCAAATGGACTGGTCTAAACACAGAGCAGGGCAAATCTATTACAAAAAATAAGCAGTTTAAAGCGTAAGCAGGTTAAAGGTTAAGAGTTCGAAGATCATATTATTGTGACATAGAACAAGAGCTGTCCGTAAGACAGCGCGCTCGACTTTTTTATTGCTTGCCAATAAAAAAAGTTTTTGCAGTAAAAGGCAATACCCAAGAATCTCCTGGGTATTTTTAAAGTGAATCAATGGCCCCATGAGCATTAAGAATATTTAGTGAAGAATTATTTTATTTCTGAATTGTTGTGATACCTTGAACACTGCAGCCAAAGTTTGAAATGTTTTAAGTCAAAAGAGGGCCTGGTTTAAGAAAGAAAAAAAAACTGAGTTGAGCCTTAAATAAATTTAATTTAGTATTAAACCCACTTTGAGAGAATAAGGTATTTTTTACGTCACTCAGAACACCTTGGTAAATGACCTGTCCGTAGCTGGTCACTTGTCCACCAATCAAATTAAAATGTGAAATATGCATATACTACTGATTTTAATTTCAAGTACAAAAAGAGAAAAATAACTAGTTGTTTGATACCCTTGAATATTACAGCAATGTTTATATGACATAATTTATGGTAAAGTGAACAAGTGGATAGGAATGAATTTTTTTAGATTTTTTAAAGTTTTTTAGTGCTTGCCTATAATACAAAACATTGACAGTTAAGGGCCATAATTCAAATAAAATCTTTGACAGAATTACCTTCTCCTGGACATGTTTGGGAATCATGATTGTAAACAAGTATTCCAACTTTCAAATTAATATCTCAAACAGTTCAGTCAAAAAGTGGACTGGTACTAAAAACTTAACCAAGATTCTAAGTCGATAAAAGGCCTTAATTTTTAAAACAAATCCTTGACAGAGTTACCTTCTCTTGCGTACAGATGGGGGGTAATGATGTGAAATAGCATTAAAAGTTTCAAAGCAATATCTCAAAGGGTTAAGGCAATAAGTGGATTTTTACCCATATTCAATGTATTTTCTAAGTCAAAAAGGGGCATAATTCTGTCAAAAACCTTGACAGAGTTATGTCCTCTTGTCTGTTGATGAAGGTCGTGATGGTAAACAAGTATGGTCAGTTTCAAAGCAATACCTCCAATGGTTTTGAAATAAAGTGAGGTGGTACAAAAAACTTAACCAAGCTCAATACACTTTCTAAGTCAAAAAAGGGCCATAATTCTGTCAAAAACCTTGACAGAGTTATGTACTCTTGTCTGTAGATGGAGGTTATGATGGTGAACAAGTATGGTAAGTTTCAAAGCCATACTTGTAATACTTCTGAAATAAAGTGGGGTGGTACCGAAAAACTTAACCAAGGTGGTGAAAACTTAACCAAGGTGTGACGCCAACGCCGACGCCGACGCCGGGCGCGAGTAGGATAGCTCCCCTTTTCATAGAAAAGTCGAGCTAAAAAAAAGTGAAATGGTTTTGTTAAATATTCTCTTATTTATTGACAGCTGCTAAATAATCCCAAGTTTAAAGGCATTTCATATTACCTGTTTTTTTTTTTAATGAAAAGGTAAAAACAAATGCACTGTCAAAGACTCACAGTTTACTGTAATGGTACCGGTGTATATCAATATCAAATGAGTCCTTTAAGTTTAATATGGTAACAATTCTTGGAAGTATTCATAAAAGTGCATGAGCCTATGAAATTGGATATAAAATGAAAGATTATTTCCATCACATTGATATTTCAAAAGCTAGAAAAACGTGAAAGAAAAAAGAGTGACAATCTGACATTTTTGTATCAAAACTTGTGTAATATAAAAATTAAGAGACTTTCATGTCAAGCAATGTGTGCGATATCAAAATCACTCAGTGATACATGTATCAATTGATAAATATATCTCATATATACCTCATCTTTGTGTCCACCAAACTGTTTCAGGTCTAACTTGGAATAATCCCGTGGACCACGGAACATCTTGATGAAATACAAACTCCTATCCTCGTTTATTTTACATGTTTTTCTGGAAAATTAGGATGACAAGTACATTGATTAATTCATTTTAATTCTACATCTGGTCATTTAATTCAACAACACTTTGTGCCAAACTAGTTTTTCAACATTCTAACACAACACATATTTTTCCCTGTTGAACATATAAGGACCAAAAGTGTGTGTAAATATGCCATAAAAACACTGTTCAGGCGATCAATTTTTAGACATGTGACATAACCATTAAAAATGCCCTGCGCTAAAAATAAGTATGGAAACAAATCTGGGACAATTTAGCTCGATATCAGGTACAGAAGCATTTATTTGTTGATGTTCTGTTAGAATCAATGTAATATAATTCCCATGGGAAGCACTGTGATTTTATTTCTCTATAAAATCACTGTCGTTCGGATACGCAGTATTATATTACTCGGTCCACATCCTTGTGTTGAATTCTTTGCATCCGAACTCCAAACAGTGATTTTATGAAAAGAGAAACAAGAAAACCACTGTTGTGGATATATCAACCGAGATTTGAAAACCCAAAACCCTGATCTTAACTAGCATACATTTCAACCACAGCATGTCTAATTGAAGTTAGTAATACCCATAATTACTACATCTTACATCATATTACTTTATATTTGATTCACTGCTTAATGAAATGCTTCTCTGTAACTCACTACAGTAGAATGAAAATTAACAGATTTTATAGTTGATTCATGTCAAACTCATCTGATTTGTGTTTACTTTTTTGCAGTGTTTGTAGGGTTTACAGACACATGTCATTAATGACTTAAATTAACTTATATAAAAATATATTCTTATATACCTTTGTCAATATAAATTATTTAGAATTGCGCGATTTTTAATTAAAATTCCCCATGTTATTTACATTGGAAACGAAGCACTTCCTCTTAAAACGGTGCATAATATTATCTAAAGTGAATTTCACTAACGTTAACATCGGTCTAAGGCTACTAAATAAGTTGAATGGTTGGTTTACCTTGACACATTCGAAAGAACGAAACAAAAGTGACTGATTTAAAGTGATGATCAAGTAAATCACAATATAAAATGGAGACGATGATAAACACAGTGGTTTTTTCCTGGGGATTTCCAATTAGTTAAGCCAGGTGGATAATAATTATATTTAAGATATTAAGAAATTACCTAAGTTAAATTTTTACCTTCAATGAAATAATGGTTACCCTGTAAACAAAGATCATCTGTGAATAAAACATCAGTTATTAGGCCGAGATGACCTCTGAATAAGGGACATCTGTCATTAAAAACCATATTTGTCTTTTCCATTTGTAGCCGTTGGCCTAAAATTCAACTGTATATGTATTTCTGCACAGACACATGTATATTTAGCGCCATGGTTTCTGATACAATACAAAAACCTTAATCATGGAGCTAAATATATAATATAAGTGTATGTACATTGTATATCTTTGCTTGAATATTGGATTGAATGATCAACTGTATTCTAGTGAATATGGTCTATACTAAACAAAAATTGCTTCTATATCGAGAGGAAGAAGATAATGAATGGAAAGGTGAATGTGTGCGAATTAGCAGACGATAAAATGAAATGTGATTTTTTTTTAAGAAATGACGCTGATTAATAGGCCCAATAATTTCTCTCAACACAAATCACAAAATATTCCACAGTCATTATAATTAAACATTAATTGTACAACTCATTCTCTCTTTTTAATTATAAGTAACTGTACTTTAAAGATGCGGAGGAATATCATCAAAACCTTGTTCGTGGCGTTTTCCAGTTTTCGTAAGTTATTAAAAGAATTCGAATTGTCGTAAAACAGTTATTTCCCTTATAATCTAAAAATTCCATTTGACTGAAAAATTCAAATAAATAGATAAATAAATAAAAATGATTACAAAAAATATCACATATTTTCAATGTATTTATCTAAGGCTTTAAGTAAAATATTTTACATTGCAGAAATGTATTGAAATATAGTAAATTCTTCCTGAATATGTCTAATCTTGAATAAGTGAATGTATAAACTATGTTTGGGAAGGTGCATTTCATATTACTTGTCAAATAATTTGGATACTGCCAGTTTTTTTAATGACACTATGTATTCATACGGTGATTACCTGTAGTTTGTATTCAAAAGATGTATATTTTACATTTCAAAAGAGACTGTATAGTAATTTTCTTCAAATATTAAATGTAAAAGTCACGAGGAAGAAGAAATAGTTTATTTCGGTAACTTATAAATTTACAGTATCTCGTTACATACAATAACTACAAAAAACATGTACAATATAATTATGTGGTCACATGGCAGAAGCAAAGGAACCAAAAGAGAAAATGATAAAGACATGAGAGGTTTAATTAATGGCCTCTAGAAAATTTGAGTAAGACATTATATTGCTAAAATTGTTTAAATTATGTATTAGTGATAAAAACAAATATTGAATATATTAATTATGATATACAAGTAGGTACATAAGCTGAAAGGCAAACTGGGTAAGGTTTTTCTTGCTTGATTAAATATGGCTTACGTTCTCTTTTATTGATATAGCAGAAATCATTAAATATGATAAACAAGATCAACAAGGAAAGGCGGCGTTCAATGAAAATCAACTAAGCGGTTGCACTGCCGGAGATTTACTTAAAGATCCTGTATGTTATAATTAAGGATATATAACAACACTTTTAAAAAGTGAAATTTTATATATGTATATATTATTACCGACCTAGCTTTTAGGTTGTATACCCCTTTTGTGAATGGGTATTTTGTTAAACTACCGTTGCCATCGGCCTACTTTACGGTACATTAAGGTTATCCTTATTTGTTTAATGTAAATATACCAACTCAGTTTATGACCTACTACCTGTAGTAATAATGCAGTAAACATAACTACAGCAATCAGTCATCACTGGCACCGGTAATACAGTGTGTTACTGAGTACATCTAAAATAGATCTGTTAGTCTCTTGCTTTGAGCAGGTCTTTCTCAAACGATTTCTTAATTACTACATATGTACATTATTTTTAAGCATTATTTGTGTATGCATGTATTTCATTGCGTGCACAGATGCATGCGTGCGCGTGGGAGGCTTTATTTGCGTGCGCGTGGGAGGGTTTATTTGCGTGTGCGTGTTTTGACTTGTCCTATCGCATGGATACCATAACAAATCAATAACATCTCATTGTTGATGGTAATTTTAGTGACTAAAACATAGTCGAGTACTTTACGTACGTATAATTGATTTATGATACACATCTCCAGGAACTTAGCATAATTATGTATTATGAGATTTGTTTACTTTAAACCTACTTGTAAAATCCGGGCTTTGCTTTCCCGCTGAAACTCTTCTCTAAATACAGGTATTGATTGCTATAAAGTAATGTTCTCAAATTCCCCAAACGACTGCAATACCCGTTAAGGCTTGACTGTGAAGCCTGTGTCGCTTTAAAACATTTATACGCCGTGGGAACATCATTTATACGCGCATATTGTATACCAGACAGCCAATGGAACGTAACCGACCTAGCTTTTAGGTTGTATACCCCTTTTGTGAATGGGTATTTTGTTTAACTACCGTTGCCATCGGCCTACTTTACGGTATTCGGTGGAATTTTTCAAGTGAAATGTTATCGTATTCGATTTAAAGGATAGTATTTCGGATAAATGACATCGGGTATGAATATTTTTGTGTAACTTTATTTTTGATTTTGAAAAAAAAAAGTTTTGATTTTACTTAAATACGTTATGTTGGTAACAACATACCACTAGTCTACATGATAACGGAAATCTAACTGTGTGACAGAGTTGATTTTCTATATACAGTAAATATAAAAAAGATGTAAAAGCTAAAAAAAATTCTAATTAGAAAAAGTTAAGTATTTTTGAAATTGAAGAACGGTTCAAAACAATTAGAAGGGTCGAGTAGCGTTCTTGTATCAAACTTGTAAAGAATCTTTCTTTAATTCTTTAATTATGTGTAGGGTAATTTAGATTCATGTAATTTTATCATGAATACACTCAATGACATTGTCCAAAAAGACATACGAGTTAGTACTGTTCAAAACAGCATGCATGTGGATTGATTTAAGAATTTTGCGGTTTCAGTGGAATATTTTCGGTATTTTAAACTCATTAAGACATATCATCTATGTTGGTGAATATTGTCTGAATGCTGTCACTAAAACTATAAACCCAATGTATTAACAGTAATCCAACATTAACAAAATGTGTTGCTATGAGACAAAATGACTTTTTTATGCGTATAGATGTATGTTGTTTTTTACCCTCGACAACGGAATGAACCATATGGGTGGACACATTTTAAAGCATCATGCCTCTTGATTCATGCAAAATGTTATTAAATATATAAAACGTATTCAAAAGAGAAAACTTGTCATTTATAAGTAATTTATACATTACAAAAGCACTTAAAATTAACGAAAATTATCAAATATAGGTCAGAATTTGCAAAAATAGCCCTAACTGCTTAAATTTAGTCATGCTGAAGAAATACGGTATTAAATACTGCAAAATCATTAAGTGATTGCATATAACATGTAAATCTTTTCTTGAATTGGGAATATATTTACTTTTACATTTTTCTCTATGATAATGATCTTCTTGAATAATTTTGGCTAACCTGGAGACATGCAGCTTTCAGGACTCAAATGGCTGGCCATTCATATAGTATAAGTCAACTGGAGAAATAATGCATATATATAAGCATTAATTAACTATAATTGCTGTATAAATGTATTTTTTTAAATAAAAAATTACAATATTTTGGCACACGGTTTGGGGCATTTTTTAACACAACAAAAGTAAGAAAAAATCTGTCCATATGCGTTTCATACTTTATACTTTGAAAATGTTCTTATGTACGAGTATATTCCTTAAAAATGCTTTAAAGTAACGGTATTATTCAGGTTATAACAAGTCAGATTTGCCCATTGGAATTTCTGGAATTTCTCGACTATTATTAAGATTGTCCAAAGTCTGACGGAAAGGGCCGAAGAGATGCGACTGCAGATTTGCGTGGCAAAGAAGAAGAAGCCTATAATGTTTAACACAAAGTGCCCGTACCTTTAGTACAAATCTCTCAATAGTCTGCAGGCCAGTAAAAATACTGCAGAAATGCGGATAATTTAAGCGCTTCTGTCTTAATTAAAAGGTTAAAATAAATAACACATTTCATATAAAGGAATTTTATTAATACTTTATTCCCGATGTGAAAAACAAATACGCATCTAAACTGAGAATGGCAAACTCCGATGTGAAAAAAATCGCATCAAACTCCGTTTAACCAACTTTATAAATGTAAATGATATATCGCGTTCAGGGTGTATCAGGTTGACATGAGTTGGTCTCGTATATCTCTTGTTATTCAAATATATCCATGAAATACAAGCGACATACCATTTTTATGATTCAAAATGAGGCTTGCGGCAACAGGTAGAGGGAAGGGAAATGGGATGGCGGTCGGGGGTAGGTATAATGAAATTCAGGCAAAATGTCTTTTATGATTCAAAATATGACTTGATGCACAATCAGCAGACGACAGGAGAGAGATAGATGATAGAAATGGGGAACAGTTGCAAGGGGGGAGGTGGCCGGGGGATATAAATATATATTGATCATAGATATTAAATAATATCAAAAATATTCATCATTGTAAGTAAAAAAGACAATCGATATACATAGTAAGTTTGTTTAAACCTATAGTCACTTCTTCATGGTATCACACCCTATTTCAAATTTTCCAACATAAAGGAAACCTTGGGTCGAGACTTTATGCAAACAATCGCTTTTGACGATGGTATTGTATTCCAAAAAAATCGTAAAAGCTAAATAAAGCTGTACAACCATTCAATGCTACCTTTTATGCCGGGTGTGTTGCTTTTCTACCGCAAAGAAAAATAATTGAATGAAAGAATGCCGAGTCTATAGAATTCTATGCGCGCGATATCTCTTAAATAATCAATACATGGTGATCATATTGCAAAATCAATAATATTGACTTAATGGATTCTTTCAATAGGTTCGTGCAATGGTCAGAGTTAGTTGAAGTAAAATCCATGATGTTTAGAAATAATAATAATGGGTGATATGACAAGCATGATTTTTGCATTAAGAATTATAGATTTGTTCCACTTTTCTCTCATTTAAATTTCTGAACGGAAAAAAAAGCTTGATTACTAAACGTTAGGAAACAATAGAAAATGGGGAACAATCTAGTTTATAAATAAATAAGTATGAAATATATGAATGTAAAAATATGATGAAAGAGTAACTATAAATTGCCTTCTGATTTCAGAATTGATATAAAAATAATAGCGTAGCGTAAAGTTACATTGGATGTTAAAGTTGTACATTAAAGGCGCATTGATTAGGCTTCAGAAACTTTTCGATTTTTACAGATTTTTCCTCTTAAAGAAAACGTGCGTGTGTATATTGATGTTTCGATAAGAAGATGCTTTTCACGTGCAGAAAGCAGCGTTAAATATGAAATAATATATCATAAATATAACAAAAAAAAAAGAAGATTTTTTTTCTTTTATACCTAACTCTTTATTTATAAATTTACTGATGACAAAAATACGCCAAACGCTTATTCAGTTATATGGTTAATGAAATTGTAACATTACAATCCAAAAGTTTTTGACAAATAGTAATAACATTTTTCGGGTCTTTTTATGGGTCTTTAATGTATATTAAGAAACTGATATGGAAAATGAGTATGTTAACACAATAATATAACTTAACATTGTGCATGGCAACGTAGCATCGGAACTGAATTCAAATGTCATTATACCGGTACTATGTTTTTGCTGTTGAGTTGAATTAGTAATACATTTCAAAATATTTACTATAATAATGGTGACCGACTAAAGTTAATAATGAAAAATGTTTATGATACACCATAAAAAAAACCTGTCCCATTCTTTATTTAAGATTCCTGTCGCTATACTTTGACATAGGTAGATTGAAGAATCAAAGAAATTAATATTTCGAAATATTTCTACAATATTGTAAAATTCGATTCACGAGTCACATTACCATTGTTATAAAATTCTTTGGCTTAACCTTGGCGTTGAATGATGAGATTTTTAAACGGCTAGACTGTAATAAAAAAGATCGTTAAGTTTACATTCCCCTGTTAACAATGAATACTATGAAGTAAAAAAATTGATAAATGATCCGCGTCATGACAAAACCAACATAATGGGTTTGCGACCAGCATGGATCCAGACCAGCCTGCGCATCCGCGCAGTCTGATCAGGATCCATGTTGTTCGCTTACCAACCCTATTACAAGTAGAGAAACTGATAGCGAACAGCATGGATCCTGATCATACTGCGCGGATGCGCAGGCTGGTCTGGATCCATGCTGGTCGCAAACCCATTATGTTGGTTTTGTCATGACGCGGCTCAAATAATTTATGCGTAAAATGATACTAACGAAACATTTTCCCATCATAACCAGACCGAGTTAAGGCGGCTCGACACCACATCTTTAAAAATGTTAATAAAACAACATGCCATGTTTAAAGAAACTCTTTTGAACAGTTTTAATGTGAAGGAATTAATTTTACCATAATTTTTGTTATGACTGGCCAAATATGTCTTTATGAAAACTCCCGAAAACGCCCTTAAATATCAATGAATGTGGACTTTTACGAACAGATTTACATATTAAATATAAAAAAAAGTTTTATCAATACATTATTATTATTATCATGTTTAAATACTTAAAGTTCAAAATACGTCGAATCATGTTTGAAGGAACATTCACTATATAATTTATGTATAGACCTTTATTGGGCCGTTATAAATTACTCTTAAGGGACGAGGGATCGTACACAATAGACAAAAACCATTATAAATCAAACTTTACACACAACGTGATATTTGAATATTAACTTTAAAAAGAATTACTGCTGTTTTTATTACTGATTTAAATCTAGGGTTTTTTGTATGAAAGGTTAAAACGGCCTTAGGATCTCAAAATTATATACAATTTTTGCTGAATCAGCGATTTATTTTATTTATTAGTGCGTTACAAACGGTTAACTTTGTAAATAAACATGTCTGTTTATATATATTGAGATGTGATAATATCATCTTTAAGAAAGTTTTGATTTTACTTTTAATCAAAATATGATTACTTTTTTTGTACTTTGATATATTTGAATGATCAATATAACGTGTTGTTCTCAGGACTTTACAAATCGGCTTGATTCGCTTATATCTTAATGTTTTAAAAAGATTTAAATATTTAAGAAAATTAATTCAATATCAGACGAGTTAACAGTATCTCAAAAAAAAATTAAAGAAGAGAGAAATATATTAATATTTTTAAAAAGTGTATTAATATTCATTTTGACTTTAAAGCTTTGCAGTTTTATGCAATTTAATATTTCCGAAGGAGTATTTTATTGCTGATATACTACCTCGTGGCAATAATTTTATGAATATAGGACTATATTTGCACAGTTTAAGTAAACCCTTGTATCATAGTTTGGAGACCTTTCTGTTGAAAATGTGTCAGGGTTAAATCGTATACATATACATGCACAGTGCGTTAACTGGAGTGCGGGTATTAGTTACCCGCACTCCAGAGCATGCCCATTGATTGGCTCATTTTTGCTGGGGTTTACATATTGTGACGGCAGAGAAAGGGAAAGTGACAGAAATGTCATATTCAGATGTTCGTTCATTGGTTCATTTTTGCCGAGGTTTCATATTGTGACAACAGGGAACGTGCTTTTATGTTTGACTATGATACAAAAAAGAAAGAACACCAAAACACTCGGCAATCTGATTAATACTCGGGGGCTACGCCCCCTCGTACAAATCAGATAGCCTCGTGTTTCGGTGCTCTTTCTATTACTTAGAGTGAAAATAGATAGTGTATTTTTTACATTTAAAACATTTCGTGTTTTTGCTTGAAGATTGAAAGTACAGTCGTTATTTTTAAAATGTGTATATAATTATATACTTTTTTACAATACGACTTTTCGGGCACGCGCATTCTGCGTATTAATTACTATTTATAATAATAAAGAATTTTATAGACGTGATTTCAAGTTTAAAAACGGGGTTACATATGAAAATAAAGTTTGAAATTACAAATGCGTGTCTATAATATATACTGTAAACAGCGTTTACAGTATAATATCTACTTCTAGGTTAAACGAATAAATAATAAATCATGCAATTTCATGTCTTACTTACACATTCTATCATTGTTCTTGAGGTCGCACACACGGAACACCTCTAACAACTTCCTTGTACAAAGCCAAATTTTTTTACCCTCAAAAGGATTGGCTTATTATAATTATAGTCGGAATACCGAACCGTAATTTATGTAATTTATACTAATTTAAGGTATAACACAAAGTATTGTTTCATATTTTATTTTCATATTTGATAAAAATAAATAAATAAAAACAAAGTAATTATATTATACATTGTATTTGCTTTTTAATTTCAGACTAACATAATGATGTGATGACGAGGACATCCGAATATGAAGATCCGACTTAAACCGAATCATCATCCGCTGATCTTGCTGCGTGCTGCGCATGCGCGGGTGAAAACCCACAGTAGATTAGTCACCGTGGTCAGCGTTCTACTTGGCATTTTTCTTTTAATCTACGGAAAAACCATTTTCCACGTGACTCGAGAATTTCTTACCCACTCCAATTTCAATTTCAACTTATGCAAGCGATTTCATCAGATGACGCACGTGGAGACGAGGCGCAGTGCGATACCGAAAAATATACACCAGGTTTTTCTGAACGTTTCTAATAATAGAGTTGAGTTCTTTAACGAATATGAACCATACAGACGCACGTGGCAGGATAAGAATCCAGGATTTAAATATATCCTATGGAATGAATCCATGATAGAGGACCTAATTAACACCTCCTATCCGTCCATTGCTCCACTTTATAAAAGATACCGGAACGTTTGGCAGGCACGTGCGGATATTGCACGCTACGTCGTGGTTCATTATATGGGCGGGATCTATGCTGACATTGACATCACGTGCAGGAGGAGCATGAATGAATTGTTTAAAGAAATTGGAGACAAACGTGTGGCTCTTAACTATACCTACAACCCTTTCGGAATAGCAAACGATTTTTTCGTGGCGTCGAAAAATCACGAATTCATGGCGCACGTTCTTGACGGGTTACAGGACGCCGACGTGTTATACTTTACGCCATTTTTAAACTCCATGTTTAGGACGGGACCTATGTACATGCTTGGTAGATATTTAAACTACCCTCACCAAGAAGATATCTACTTCCTTCAATCGTCACGTCTGTATATTTCTAGTGAAAGGAGTAACAAATCATGGCACGGGGTAGATGGGTATATCATTGCCATCATTTGGAACGGTGTAGACTCACTACAGATAATAAGCATTATTTTATTAATAATTTTTATTGTTCGCCTGAATAAACTACTCAGAATCCGAGCAAAACTTGTGAAAAAATCTAGAAAGCAAGTTCAGTTTTTCGACAGAAGACGTATGATGCCGATTATAGAAGAGGATGCCTTGTGATATAGAAATGAACGCGCACCTACTCAGACACGCGAATCATGGGCCGTTGGATGAAATGGATGAAATGTTAAAAAACAAAGCATCAATACACCTAAGATGTTTATAAACTCCTTATTGTATTAGGAAAAATAGAAATTAAGGCTGTCATATCGAATCAACTGTAAACAAGTACATGTATAACCAAGTTGACAATGCGTGCCTTCCGGTCATGTGAAAGTCCGAGCCAAAAGAAACAGTCATTTTGGTATGAATTTATCCGCGTTTATGTACCAGTTCTAGTTCTTTTCAATTTTTAACTGTTTTGCTCATAAATTAAAATATTTTTATTCAGATGTTCTGAAAATAGTTGGATGTTTTACAAAATACGCCCTTTTGACGTCATCCATGCAGAGCTTTACATCGGTGACTGAAAATGAACATAAATGATAAGAAACGGATCTCCTATAATATTGTGGATAATCAGGAACGACAACTTTTACACATTCAATGATAAGGAACCGCAACTCTTTACAGATTGAATTGTTCGGAGCGAAACTCTGTAACTTTGTAGATGATAAGGAACGGCAACTCTTACGCATTCAACGATAAGGACAACTCGTACACATTTAATAATCAGGAACGGCAACTCTCGCATATTTAATTATAAGGAACGGCAACTCATACACATTTTCAAACACACATGACGATTCTCATCCGAGATTTTATCTCCTGGCAGCGAATGACCTGCTTTATCTGACCAATTTATATCTGCGTTACCCTATTTCAAGTGGAATTAAGGAAATAAGTGATAAGTTATGTTCAATGGCATTCTCGGTATTTTCCGCCAAACTACGGAGGATTACCGATTGTTAGGGTTTTTAGGCATTCCACAAAAATGACGCAGAAATACGGTCAGTCAAGCGGCGATGCTCCATTCATTTGCTTTAATTAGTAATTATTAACTTATATGTATGAAAATGACACGTAAATGTCTCTATAAATAGCACCAACACTTTTGGTACAGTAATGTGAATCACACTCTCTTCATCTGTCTGTCAGTCTGTCCGTCCGTCTGTCTGTCCGTCTGTTCTCAATCACACATCATTCAATTTCGTGTCCGGACTGTAACTTTGCATTGCATTGGAGGATTTTAAAATAACTTGGCACAAATGTCTGTCACATCATGATGATGAGTCGCGTCTAAGAACCATGTCCCTACCTCAAAGGTCAGGGTCACACTAACAGTTTGAAGGTTCGCATACTTACATTAAGAGTTAAAAGGTACACACATTCGTGTCCGGACTGTAACTTTGCCATTCATGGAAGAAATTTTAGATAACCTGGCACACAAGTCTACCACATCAAGACAACGTGTCGCGTTCAAGACCCATGTCACTACCTTCAAGTTCAAGGTCACACTTAGAGGTTGAAGGTACACATTCGTGTCCGGACTTTAACTTTGACATGCATAAAAGGATTTCAAAATAACATGGGATAAATGTATACCATATCAAAACGACGTGTCGCGTCCAAGAGCCATGTCCCTACCGCCAAAGTCAAAGTGGTATGTTAATTGCATCTTTCACAAGGACAACATTAAACAATTAGTACATTTTATTCTCTTCTCTTTTCGTAATACCTTTCTGCAATTCTAACAAAACCTTTTTCGGGGGCATTCGTCACTTTAGCTTGACACTACTTGTTTGCAATAATCTTGTTTTGTACCTTTTCTACATGCTTTTAGTGTTTATTTTTTTAACAAAAGATATAAAATCATATAAAGTTAAACTAACTGTTTGAACGCAAAAATTATATCTACTGTTTATTGAATAAAAGTGTAAAAATACTTATAGAATTGTTCATTGTTTGTTAAATGCAGCTGCAACTTCTCGGCCCTTTGCAAAGGACTATCGTTAATCGGTGAGGTACGTGTTCCGAAAGCTGAAAAATAGTACTTTTTGACCTTAGGTCCACAATTTATTATCTTGACTTCCTCTAGATAATATTTAAATATCAAACAAACTTGACTTTAATATTTATACCTGCTTGTTAAGTGAACTTGAAAATTCTAATATATTACAAATTTATTAAGTAAAGAATTGTAATTCATTTTAAGTTCAGTTGAGCATGTGTCCCAATGCTTTATTAAAATAAGCTGAAAAAATGCAGTTCAACAGTAACTTAACTTGTTCAAAGTCAATTATTTGTCTATATACACGAGGTATGCTCAAAAAGTTCGTGGACTCTTGCTGTCATTGTTTACTTGGTTCATAAAAACAGAATTTATTGATAATAACCGAAAATGTGTCTTTATTTTTGCAAATGAGTTTTACTTGTATCGTAAAATTTTATTTCCTTCACGAGCTGTTTCCACTTTAATAATCATGGTAACGCAATATCGTCGCACGCCGAAATGCTAGTATTAAACTAATGTTAAATTAAATGTTCAAAACGGTTCGCATAACCCTTGTTATTTGTAATTTTCACAGAATTATAATTTGTAAACATATTGTATTGATTTGTCACCGTATATAGAGACATGTTTAGATATTTGTCTCGCGCAAAATCATGTACGCAAATGAAAAGAAATGAAGAGTAGAACAGTCCACGAACCTTTTGAACATGCCCAATACATACACACCCCACTAAACTTTCCTGCAGTACATGCGTTTTTAAACGCTTATCCATTGTAGCCTTTAGAAAATAATTATCTCAACAAAATATGAAACGATAGTCCCTATTAGAAAATTTGATTTGTTTGCAGGCTTATTGATACAGCTACTGATTTGAAACAAGCGATTCACACATCGTAGGAACTGTAAAGGCACATGAAGCTTCAGAAATGAGTTTTCTTTCTTCTTAAGATAGGGAAAACATGTGTTTAATAATGTCTCAAGCTAAGGGTATCCATAAGTATCATTGCGCCCCCGCCATTTTAACTTTTTTAATTTTCGCGTTTCGCTTGGCGGGGTCGAGGGGCAAAAACACGAATGGCACAAAAAAGGGCAACATAAATAGTTTTGTAGTTATATGGGCCTTTATATAATATCGTCTTTATAGAAACTCAATTTAATCAGTTTTATGTATAGCGATAGGAAGAGATTAATTAACAGATTTTTTTTTCACAAGGCACTTTTTGTAAGGCGCTTTTGTAAGGCAGTCTTTGTTGTTACTCGATGTCCGGTCCGCTGCTGCCTCGTCTGGGACACGTGTTTTTCATGCCGATCTCTACGTGTACGTAGGTGGTAACCTATATGGTGGCTGATTTAGTACACTTTGCGCGTTGCGTTGTCGATAGCGAAAACACAACCTATACGGTTATCGCCTTTTCGTCTTGTCTTTTTGTCGCTAGCGAAACACGCCAAACGGCGCGTTGTCATGCGGCGCGTTGTCGAGATGTCGCCCTGTCGCTTGGCCCTGTCGCAACTTTTTCGATTTGAGCCGAGCGACAATGTGACATCGCGACAACACGACGCACGACAACGCGCCGTTTGGCGTGCATCGTTAGCGACAGGACGACAAGACGAAAGTCTGACAACGCGCCGTTTGGTGTTATGTCGTGCTTTCGCTAGCCACCATAGTAACCAGAGGAGACGACAACAGCATCAAGGCATCTTTTCTTTTAAAATGACCCTTTGTAGGACCACACCCTACCGAGATAATTACAAGTCAATTTCTGGTACTTCGGATCATTTGACCTGCCGCGTGCCTTCTCCGCGACGCCTTTAGCGGTGTGGCGCGGGATTTTGGGTAGAAGGAAGTCTTTTTCACATTTTAAACATATTTACTTTATTGCGCATTTTTTTCTCCTGTGTTGTAACGTTTTAAATTACATGTAGGTATATATTTACACATCATGTACGATATGACTAAAACGTTCGCAATAATATCTGCATACCTTTTGTAGTCAATCGCTGGTGCATTAAAATCTCGTATTTTTATCAGTTGTAAAGTATAATAAACCTAAATTGAAATATTCAAAATATATAATTACATACAACCTAAATAAGTTATTTATACAAGGGTTGATTGTCATTTAATTACTAAATACAGTCTTCCTTAACGAACGAAACAATGAACACGCGATTCAAGTGATCGACTTTCGTAATAAGAGATCAAAATAAAAACAAATATCATTGCAAAGATCTTGTTCAAGTGGTTCCAGTTTAATCTGGTTTGAAGTGGCGTTATTATTATTTCAAGAGCAGGTTACGTTGACATTGATCTGAATAAGTAAGTTGGTCAATCGTAATAAATCGGCTGTTTCCGACAAAGTTCGTAAATGTGACTTCTTGGAGACGCTCGCGTGATCGCGATTGCAAGTCGATGCGCAAATTGCTGAGATGTCAACTGTATCCTGGCATATTGAGAGAGAAAATATAACATCAAGAAGGTCCATTTTGAGCCCAATTTTTGCATGATGACACAGTGGCTTACTTTTGGACATTTTATATAATAAGTATGTAAATTTGACCAAAATTTCGTCACAATAATGATTCTGAACAAATGCCAATAGAATTTTCTAATTCATGAGTTGTGAAGAGGTATTTGGGTTCTATTATTGAACCGGTATTATTAACCAACATTTTTTTTCAAGATAAATATTCTAACCAAGTTTGATGGAGTTTGAATAAAAAATGGACCTTAAGACATCAATTAGTTTAAATGTGAACGGAATACTGATATAATGATGGTCACTTTTCGGCTATTAGCTAAACTTTTGTGTTTATATAATGTAGTTTTTTCGTCCGTCGTGCTAAGAGGTCGACAAACGACATAGTGCTAGTTTAAAATTTAATTTCATCAGTGCAAACTAACAACACAACGGTATGATGCGATACACCACTAGGCATGGCGATGCCACGATAAAATCATCGTACATTTACCTACATAGCAATCCTTCGCCTGAAGTCAGAGGAGCACCTAAATTATCTACCATCTAAATATGACAGACAAATATAAGCAAAAGTGTTAAAAAAAATTGAAATTACCAGTGACCTTGACCTAAGTGATCAAAGTTTGAAGACCATCCAAGGAATGTTTCTACTTAATTCAAGTACGCCATATATCTATATGATAAATATATAATTCAAAAAGTTAAAAAAATCTTAAAAGAGTTAATCAATACATGACTTTAACCTGGTCAATTGTCGTGCAATGTCTATAATATTATACCAATAGTGTCACCCTGTCTAATTATTCGGTGCTGTGCACAAGAAGTGCACATATCAGACTATATTGTGCACATCTAGGTCAGATCTTTAGCATACCATGTGCACAATGGTGGAAAATTTAGTTGTACTCAACTGTATGAAATTATATAAACAATCATTTTTAGTATTATAAAGGGAGATAACTATAAAAACGTTTGAATAAAATTCATATTTTAAGTTATTCCCTTGTCAA